TTTTTATCTCCTCTATTTTATGTCTCTCTTCTCTCACTTCTTGCTCTATCTTCTTATTATATCCATCTCTCCCACTTCCTCTTCCTCCCTCCTCTCTCAATCTATGAATCTTCATTCATTCTTTCTCTCTCCTTCTGTCCCACCCTCCCTCCATCCCTCACGCGCACTTTCTCTTGTCCCTCCCTTAGTTTCAGTTTCTTGCTCTTTCTTGCTCTCCCCCTTTCTCACTCACTTTACTCTCACTATCTCCCAGGCTCGCTCTCTCACTCGATCTCTCTCCCTTCTATTTTCTTCCTCTTTCACACTTGTTATATGTCTTTTATCCTTCTTTTGTTTCTATTTCCCTTTCTCTTCCACCCGTTTCTGCTCTTCCTCCCTCTACCTCTCTTCCCTCCTTCCCACCCTACCTCCCTCCCTGCCTCTAACTCTCTTGTTCTTTACCCCCTCTCTCCCCTCACTTTTGATCACTCTTTCTTGCATGCTCTTCATCTCTATCTTATTCTTTATTTAACTATCTCTCTCTCTCTTCTCTTTCTCTCTCGTGCTTCTTCTCTATTTGCCTCTCACCCTCCTTTACTATTCATCCCCTCTTTCTTTCTCTTACTCTACTTCCATCTCTCTCCTTCCTTCTCCCTCTCTCTATCTCTTTTCATCATTTCTCTCTCCCGCTCTCTCTCCTCTCTCATTCTCTCCCTAATGCCTTTTATTATGTCACTTCCCTCTCTTACTCTCTCTCACTCCTTTCTCTCTTCCCTCTCTCTTACTCTTGTTTCCATTTTTTTCTCTTTCTCTCTCCATTGCCCATCCTCCCTCTCTCTCCCTATCTCTCGCTTACTCTATTTTCTATCTATTCCCTTTCTTGCCCTCTGCTTCTTTCGCAGTCTATCTTCCCATCTCTATTGCTTTGCTCACTCACTCACTCTCTCTTTATCTTTCTCCCTCTCATGTACATTTACGCTCTCTCTCGTCTTGCTCTCCCCAGCTCTCTGTCACTCTCCCTCCACCCTCTCTTACTCTTTCTATTCTCTCCCTCTTTCTCTCCCTCTCCATCTATTTTTGCAATCTCTCTCACCCTCCCTCCCTCTCCCCCGCTTTATTTCTCTCTACGTCTCTCCCCTTTCATTTCTCTCTCTCTTATTTCTCTCTCACTTCCACTATCTCTCCCACTCTTTTTCCCATACTCTCTCCCTCTCCCCTTTTTCTCTATCACGCTCCCTCTTTTGTCCCTCACTCCTCACTCAATTATATTACTCTCATTTTTATCTCATTCTCTCTTACACTGTCTTGCTCTTAATCCCTTTCTCTGTGTCTCTCTCTCCTCTGTCACTCTTAAGCTCTATTTTTTGTCACTCTCTCTCCTCTCCCTCCCACTATACCTTTCTTACCCTCTCTCACTCTCATGCACTTTCTCTCTCAATATCTTTTTCTTCTCTCTCCATATCTCTCTATTTATTTCTCAATCGAATGAGTTCTCTTTTTTTCTTTACTCTCTCTATTCTCTCACTCCTTCCTCTTTCTCCCTCTCTTCCTCTCACTCTTCCTCAATCTCACACTCTCTCTCCATCCCTCCCCTTTCTCTAATTTTTTTCTCCCTTTCTCTCACTCTCTTCTTTTTTCTCACTCTTACTTCTACTATATATCTTCCTCACTTCTTTTTATCTCTTCCGTACTCTTTTCTCTTTCACTCTTTTTTGTCTTAATCTCCTTTTCTCACTCTTCTCTATCCCACTCCTCACTCTCTATCTCCATCCCTCCCTCTCTCCCTTTCTCTCACATTAACTCTCTCCACTCTCTCAATCTTCTCTTGCTTCTCTCTCTTCTCTCACTCCCTTTATTTCTCTAAGCTCTTGCTCTCACTCTTCATGCTTTCTCCCCCCTCTTTTTAGTCTATTTTGCTCTTCTCACACTTTCTCTTTCGGCAACTTTTCTCTCACTCTCATTATTTTTATCAATCTCTTTCTCTCAATCTTCTCTTTCTCTATCCTTCTTTTTCTCTCTCTCATCCTCTCTCCCCCTCTGTGTCCCTCCCTTAATTTCTACCACTCTACACCCTCTTATTTTTACTCCCCCTCTCACTTTACCTCTCTTGCATTCTCCATCATTTGCAATCTCTCTCTCTCCCACTCTCTCCATTCCTCTCTTGCACTCCATCTTTTGCACTATCTCTCTCTCTCTTTCACTCCATCCCTCTTCCTCTCCCACTTTGTCTTCATTTCTCTCTCTATCTCTTTTCTTTCTACCCCTCGCTGGCTCTATTCCTCATTATTACTCTCTATCTCTCCCCTTTTCTTTTCTCTCTCTATCTCTCTTTTAGACTTTATCACTCAGTCTCTCTCCTCTTCTCCCTCTCACTCTCTTTCTCTCTCTCCTACTATCCTTTCATTCTTTCTTTCTAACTTTGTCACTTTAGTCTTTTTTCTCCCTCTCCCTCCCTTTTTTCCTCATTCTATCTTTATTTCTCTCTCTCTCCCTCTCATCGTCCCCCTTTTCCTCCTTCCTTCTCTCTAACTCTTTATCCCTTCCTCTTTCCCTATCACTCTTATCTATATTCTCTTTTGCTCTATCTGTCTCTCTTACTCTCTCTTTCTCTCTCTTTGTCAGTCTTTCTACCTCTTTCCTTCCCTCTTCGTCTATCATACTCTCCCTTATGTTCTCTATCTTCTCCCCATCTTTCTTGGGTGTCTTTCTATGTAACTTGTGTACTCACCCTCTTCTTCTCTCTTTCTCTTTCTCTCTCTTATTCCTTGAATCTATTTGTTCGCTCCCCTTTACTCTCTTTCACAGTGTCTCTCTCTCGCCCCTATCCCTCTCTAACACTCTCTTTCTCTCTCCATCTCTCTCTTATTATCCCTCTCACTCTATCCTCTTTCTCTCTCACTCTTACTTTCTATATCTCCCCCCATTCCAACCCTCAAAAACTCCCACCCCATGTCCTTCTTTCTCTCTCTCTATCTCCCTTCTCTCTATTTCCCTCCTCTCACTTTCTTCTCTCACACCTTTACTTGTCTCTCCCCCACCATTACAATCTTGTCCCCTCTCATTAAGTCTTTATCTTTTATCTCAACTCTTTTATGTATCTCTTCTCTGCTCTTGCTCTACCTTCTTGTTATATCGATCTCTCTCACTCCCTCTTCCTCCCTCCTCTCTCGCTTTATGTCTCTTCATTCCTTCCACCCTCCCTCCATCCCTCATACGCACTCTCTCATGTCACTCCCTTCATTTCTTACTCTCCCCCTTACTCACTCACTTTACTCTCGCTATGTCCCACAATCGCTCAGTCACTCAATCTCTCTCCCTTCTATTGCATCTCTCTTTTACACTTGCTATATCACTTTTATCTCTCTTTTGTTTCTATGTCCCTTTTTCTTCCACCCTCTCCTCCTGTCACCCTCCCTCTCCTTATCTTCCCTCCCTCCTCCACTCCTTCCTCCCTACCTTCGTCTTAGCCACTCTTGCTCCTTACCACTTCTCTCCCCACCTCTTTCGATCTCTCTCTCTCTTGCATGCTCTTCTTCATCTCTATTTTAGTCTCTCTTCATCTACCTCTCTCTCTTCTCTTTCCTTCTCTTTCTCTCTCTCTTTCTCTCTCTTGCTTCTTCTCTATTTGTCTCTCACTCCCTTACTCTTTCTCCCCTCTCTCTTCCTCCTGATCTTCTTCCATCACTCTCCATCCCTCTTCCTCTCTCTCTATCTATTTCCATCCCTTTCTCTTTCCCATTATATTGTTTCTCTCTTTTGATCTTGCTACCCCTTTCTTTCTTTACTCTCTCTTACCCTTGTTTCCATCATCTTTCCTTATCTTTCCCTTACCTGTCCTCCCTCTCTCTCCCTGTCTCTCTCGTACTCTCTTTTCTATCTATTCCCTTTCTTGCCCTCTCTTTCTTTCTCAATCTATTTTTCCTTTTTGATTACTTTTCTCCCTCTCTCTCACTTTATCTTTTTCCCTCTCTTGTACACTCATGATCTCTCTCACTCTTCCTGCTCCCCCAAGCTCTCTATCCCTCTGCCTCCCACTCTCTCTTAGTCTCTCTCTCTCCTCTCTCCCTCTTTCTCTCCCTCTCCAGCCTTCCCTCCCTTATGGCCTCTCTCTCATTCTATAACTTTCTCTATTTACCTCTCTGTAGTACAAAATCACTCTTAGTCTCCCTACCATCTCTCATAAATTTTCTCTCTCTCTTTCTCTCTACCTCTCATATTCTCTACAATTTTTTCGTTCTTTCTTCTCTCTCTTCTTTAACTCTCTCTCTGTTTCTCTCCCTTTTCTTTTTTTTCTCTCTTTTTAATTCCATCTTCTTTAAATGCATTGCTCGCTCTCTCTCACTTATTCTCCCTCCATTGCTATTGCTCTCTCTCATCTCTCCCACACCCCTCAAAAGTAATCTCTACCTATCTCTCGCCCATTCTATCTTACTCTCTCTTTCTCTTTACTTCAATCTTTCCTCCCTATTTCACTCTTACTCATGCATGCTCTCCCTCTCTCTTTATTCTCATGCTTTCTCTTCTCCATTTTTCTCTATCTCTCCCTTTTTCTCTATCTCCCACCTTATTTCTTTCTACGCCTTTCCTCTTTCATGTCTCTCTCTCTTCTTTCTCTCTCTCTTCAATATCTCTCCCACTCCTGTTCCTCTACTCTT